CTAATAGAAACTGATACAGACAGGCATGGTGACATACACTTATAATCCCAGCACTTGAGAAGCTGAGGCAAAAAGATTGCCATGAGTTCAAGGCCAGCGTGAGCCATGTAGCAAGGCCAAAGAAACTGACAGAAATGACAAGGATAATGCAATTGGCCACAAAGTCTTCAAAACAGCTATTATAATTATTCTTAAGGATGTAAAAGAGCATAATGAAATAAGAAATGGAAGGTATAAAAAGTAGATCTTTCAAGAGTTAAAAAAAATACATTATCTGAGTGGACAAAATATCAATAAACTTGAGAACACAGTCATACAAACTTTCCAAACTGAAGTATAAGAAAAAAATGAGCTGAAATTTAGTGACATATAGAATAATATTAAGAGGTCAGTGGAGAAGAGAAAAACATGCAGAGATAATAGCTACAATTTTCCCAAATTTGATGGAAGCTGTAAATCCACAGAACAAAGCTCAACAAGCACCTAGACTGAAAAACATAAAGGAAACCACACAAAGTATGTCATAATCAAATTGCTAAAAACCAGGGGTAAATATAAAAATCTTTAAATCAGCTCAAAGGGGGGGTAGACAGTTCATGTAGAGAAACATAAATAATAATACCTATTCCTCATCAGAAACAGAAGACAAGTTAGAAGGCAACAGAAGGACATCTTTAAAGTGTTAAAAGAAAAAAAGTTTTGCATAAAATAAAAGATGCTTTCCAACTGACTTTGTGAAGCCAGCGTTACCCTATGAACAAAACCAGACAAAGATATTATAATCAGAGAAAACCTCAGACCAATATCCTTCGTGAAAACAGATGTAACAAATCCTTAACAAAATAATAATGACAAAATCCAATGATAGATAAAAAGGATAGTATATATCCTAGGAATGCCAGTTTATTTTAATTTGGAAGAAGTAATAAAATGGACCTTACTCATAGAATAAAGGAGGAAAAGTCATATCATTTCAATAAACACAGAAAAAGCATATAACATGTTTCTCATTAGTGATAAAAACACGGAGCAGTTTTGGTAGAAGGAAACTTCCTTAACCTACAGAAGACACTGTTGTAATGGTGGAACACCAAACTCGGTCCCCATAAAATCAACACTAAGGCCAAGGAAATCTACTCTCACCTCTGTGTCATGCTCTACCGAAGACCCTAGTAAGTGTTAAAAGCCAGAAAAAGAAATAGAGGCATGCCGCTGGGAAAGTAAACTGTGTAATTGGGTTTACTGTACTCACAAGTGATAAGACTGTATATAGATAAAGTCAAAAGGAATCTATAAAAAATACCAGCAGAAATAAGTGAATTTAGTCAGATCACAGGAATCCAGTCAATATATAAAAATAAGAAATTCTTAGTACATCCATGCAGTGGAATACCCATAACTCAGCAATAAAAGAAATGAACTAATGAAACACTCAATAATATGGCTAGGATCTCAAAAGCAATGTACTGTTCTAAGGTAAGGCTGAGTGATAGCACACTTGCCTAGCACACGTGAGGCGCTGGCTTCCATCCTCGGCACTGTAAAATATCGGCACAGTGTACTGAAGGAACAAAGCCAGGCACAGAGGAGTACATACTGTGTAAACCCATTTGCAAGACATTCTAGGACAGGGAGAACTAATCTGTAATGACAAAAACCAGACTGGTGGTTTCCTCAGGCTGATGGTTGGGGACTGATTGCAAAGGATCAGGAAGGAAAGTTTTGGAGTGATAAGACATGTTACAGGGTCTGGTGTTTTAATGGCTGTTACACCAGTGTGAAGCTTTGACAAAACTCAGGGAACTGTGACTGCAAGTGGGTAGTGTATATTTTATTGTTTATGAACAATACCTCCATAGACTGATTTTTTAAAAAAACGGTTGAATGTAGGCACCACATCCTAAACAAAAACAAATGGATACTCTGAGGTGCTGCTCACTGGTTACTCAGAGCATCTAGAGAGAGATCCACACCCTGTCTTCCGCAGTGCGCTGTGCACTCCCTGAGATGAACAGAGGCATCCCTGTGGTTGGACACAGTGGCAGGAGCCCCAGAGAGGAGGAATGCGGGAAAGGAGGTCGTGGGCAGAGAAGCTGGATGAATGTATGCTCCTCAGGAAGTGCTCTTCCTTGTCACCGGCCACAGAGCTGTGAGAAGTTCTCTCCTGGATGCTCTCAGCTGGATCTCTGAAAGCCGTTCTTCCTGGGAGGGAGGATAACAAAACCTAGAACTCCAGGAGAGTCCTGCCCTCCCTCTTCTTCTAGTGCAGTGAATTGCACTTAAGTATTACATGCAGTTGCATTCTTCCCATATACGTCCGTCCGTAGCCTTCTTGAAAGTGCTGAGAGTCAGTCATAGGACACATAGATATTGGATACCTACCATGTGCCAGAAAGTGTGCTTTGCCAGGAATGAAACAGACGTGCTCCCTTGACTTGATAGAGGAGCACCTCGGGGTGGTGGGAGATGATGGGGTTGAATCCAAAGAACCCGATTCTAATCTTGACCCTGAGCTGTACTTGCCAAATGACCCTGAACGGTAACTTGACCTGTGAAAGGATATACTTTTCCTATCATTGACATTTCAGTTTTAAGAATTTTACATAGTTAAATACCCCAGCCATAATTTCTAAGTTAAAAGCCGTTGATAATAATTTCTAAGTTAAAAGCCGTTGATAATATCTACTGCTAAAGAGGCAGCAGTGTTATTTGAGCCCGTTTGTGCATTTGGGCGGAAGGGTTGGCTGCAGAGGGCTATACCTCATGGATTATGGTGCACTGACATCCTCTGTCCTTTTGAGGCCCCTTTTCTTAGGCTGTGATGCTATCCTGGATGGCAAATCAGAGTCATTAATTATCTGCTTACTTGACGCTTACAAGTCCATCACCGCTCCCCTCCCCCCTTCAAAAGCAGCGTGGGAGTCGATGTGTGACACTGAGGTAGAGCACACCGGTTCCATAGCCGGCAGTGCTGCTGTGCGTCTGTCACTGAACCATTCAGTGCTGAGCCGTAAACCTGCCCCAGTGCTGCTCTGTCAGAGCAGAGCAGAGAAGTCACACTGACATCAAGGCAAATCTGCACCATGGTTACTCACTATTTCAACTATGTAGACCACAATACTGGGTTCTCCACAGTCCTCTGGTATCAGCATTGCTGCTGAATTAATTTTACTCCACAGATATTTACTGACTTTGTGCTATGTGCTAGGCACAGAGTCCTGGATGCTTTGGAAATCGGAAATTAGCCAGATGGAGGGAAGAATGTTTCAGGAGATGAAAAGTTGTAGGAATTTGTTTTAAGCATTTTAAATAGTTAAGTAGCCCAGGTGCAAAGTCCCTGTGGCAGAAAGGAGCATGGGCGGTCCAAAAAACAGCAGGGATGCTGATGTGGCCAGGTGCCTGCATGAGGCGAGGCCAGCCACAGGGGAAAGGGCACCTTGTGGATCGGATGGAGCCACAGAGAGTATGCCAAGTTGTCCTCTGTGCACTGTCTCTGAATATGGGGACATTCAGCAATATGTGGAGTGACTAGTAAAAGCAGTGTGAGAACACAATCGTGAGTCATACAGAGTTGTTCGCCCAGGGTGGCACATTTTTACTTGGTTCCTTCCCAGACAAAACCACAGGCTCCGCCCCCATGTTTTAGCTCCCTGATAGCAATACCTGGTACACACTCAGAGCTAGATTTGTGCCAGACACTGTCGTGAACACCTTTTATTGTCTCGCTAACTCTCCCTTACCAGCCAAGAGCTATGAACTGTTACCCTGACTTATGGGTGTAGGAACAGAGATTAATACGGTAACTTGCGCGTGGTCACAGAGCTACTAGGAAGTGGGAAACTAGAAATTGAAGCCAGGGAGTCTCTCTGTCTAAAGACTAGTCTGTCTTTATGCAGTGCTGGGGTGGGGACCCAATAGTGGCTTTGCTTGTAGCCCAGGTTAAAAGGTTTTTATTCAGAGAAAATAGAGCCCATGATGAGGCTCCAAGCAAGCAGTCCCATGGACATATTGCACATTCACTGTGTGCACAAGCGAGGAGCAGGTGACAGAGGCATCCTCCCTCCCTGGAGCGATATTTTAGTAGTTGGAGAACAGTGGAAAGTATGGAAAGTTGTGCACTGATATTTCGGGGAACTTTAGGACTAATATAATAAGTATAATATAATCGCTGCTGTTGAGGCTGGCCCAGGGAATTACTTGATGGATGTTCTGTCAGGAAATTGTCCTGCCCTGGGGACGCAGTGTTTGACTGAGTTCTTTCGCAGCCTGGATGCGAATATGCACCTTCCAGACTCTGGGATGAAAGTTCTGGAAACGATATGGAAATGGTGGGTTTGTGTACACAGTTAGCTTTCATCTGGGTAAATTAGTAAATTACCAAGAGCGTTGGGCTCCTCTAGAATCCTGATGGCAGCCACCAGCAACAGTGTTGTAAAGGATCTGCGATGCTAAGATATTGGAATCACAAGCAAAGGGGCTCAGGTCCCTTTTAACTGACGTTCAGAAATAGCCCATGGCCAAGTCAACATGTGTGGAGCGTTCTGTGGCCTCAGGCACTCCTCACACTGCTCAGGAAAGGAGATGCGCCTGTTGCTAGACACAGCAGTGGAGGGCGAGAAAACCTGAGTGAAACGCTCCCATTCTCACAGTGGGCTGTGAGAAAGTTTGGGGTTTGACCACAAAGAGTAGTCGGCTCCACAGCGAGTGCTCATGGCTGCTGTTTAACAGAAAGTGTCTATGAGAATCTGTGCCTCTTGTGCATTTGTCAGTAGCCAGAATATAGGAAGGGGCCTATTTTCTGTAGACAAAGACATAAAAAGTCCATTTGTCAACTCACTGCTAAAATTCAGATGTTGAGTGAAGAAGCAATAGTACTGCTCCCTTCCCCTTCCCCGCAGAAATAAATAAATACTCAGCTGCAGTCTGTTTCCCCGGATCCACTTCTGAGGACGGTGTCAAGCAGGCAGAACCAATTGAGGCTGATTTCTTTTGTTCAACAGCTGCAGAACCAGGAGCTGCTGAGGGCCATGATGAAGAAGGCCGAGCTGGAAATCAGCAGCAAAGTGATAGAAACCATGAGGAGACTGGAGGATCCGGTGCAGCGACAGCGCACCCTGGTGGAGCAAGAGAGACAGAAGTACCTTCACGAGGAGGAGCGGATTGTCAAGAAGTTAGGGTGAGTGCAGTCCCTGGTTTCCTGTCTGTTCAACCTGAAAAGGAAAATTGCTCTTTATAGCGAGCCCTTCCTGGTCCTCATCGCAGCTCAGGAAGTTTATATGTGTAATCCCATGGAAAAGGTATTGGAATTCTAGTGAGTTAATAGTGGGTGCTTCAGCTCTGATCTATAATCCTTCAACTCCCAGGAAGTCATAGCCTCTATCTTGAGGCTCCGATCCCAGCTAATAGCCTGGAGCATTGGCTCTTCATCCCACCTGTCCCGGCTCACACAAGGGAACAGCGGTGGGGGGGTGGTCCAGGGAAACACACCTACTGTCTGCAAAGACTGCCATCAGCACCTCGGCTGGACCGATATGCATTGCTTAAAGCCAATTGAAGGAATAAGGAAAAGTCCCAGCCAGCTCTGGACGTGTCAGCACATGGAAATAGGGCCAGGTTCAACCAAAATGGAGACAATTGCTGCTTCTGCAAGGGGAATTGCCCAGGTGGTCCTCCACAGTCCTTGTCCACAAGGATTCTTTTATGTTTTTGTGTTTTCTCCTTGCTCTTTATTGAACCCCTCCTGTGTACAAGTCAGAGTTCTGCAGGCCCTGGTATCCATGAACACAAACATCTCTATATCCAAGCCTGAGAAAGGTGAGGCCCCCAGGACTGAGCCAGTGTCTTTACAAGTTGGAGTATCACACTCTTTCTGGGGGCTCAGCAGCACACAAAATTAAAAGGCGAGTGTAGCAAAACCTAGTGATGAATGGGAAGTTTGTATTTAATTTCGAGAAATTAAAACTAATGGCCAAAATAACACAGCACTAAAATTACCCTCTTATTATTCAACTGTAGTTAAAAATCACAGAAGAAGAATTTAAATGTAAAGTGTGTCTGGTCCGGAATGAACAGTGCTTCCTTGGACGTTACCGACCTTATATAAGGTCCTTATTGAAAGCATCTATCAAGTCCCACTGTTGAAATCAGCAGTTTTATAACTTCCCGACAGACGGCAGACCCATCTTTTATGTTAATGTATGTTTTCTTATGCAACAAAGATGTATCATAGGACTATTTCACCTTTTAGTATAATGAATAGTAATTTTTTTAGATCCCTCTATTGTCAGTAACTCTCTTTTTGCTTGGAAAGCTTGAATATCCCAAATTGGGATGATAAAGGAGCAGTTTAATAATTCTTCACATGGCCAGGATAACCAGAAGTTGCCAAGATGGGAAGTGTTATGTTCCATAGCTTATCTCATATTTGAGCTGTAGCTTCCATCAGCACAATACCAATCCCTGTGTTTGATTAAAATGGGAATGTCTCTTGCAGCAGTCTAGAGGGAAAAAATTAATTTGGCCTCTTTTCCTAATAAATTAAATTAGACCACTGTTCGTCCACATCTCAAAATAGCTTCTCAATTTTTACTTGCTTCATACATTTATAAACAAAATGAATCACCTACCATGAGATAGTAAGTCTATTATTTGTCTGAAATATTTTTGTGGCATTCTAAGTATTCAAAAGCAAGTTTTATGATGTATCTGTAAAACTGCTATATAGCTGCTTAATATTTGTAAATTTTCAGTAAAGTGATGAAAAAATGAAAATTTCTTTCCTTTAAAGTTTATTTATTGGTTTCTAAAATAACGATTGCTTCTGGTGTTTAGAAAAAGCAACTTTAACCCCAATAATGTCCTGAGACCAGTAGCTTGGTGTAGCAATAAGATAGGAAGGGTAATGGAAAAAAATGGCTCCTAAGAGGATTTTACCTGCTTGGCTTTGTGCAATGGCCGTAAGGGAGTAAGTGTGCATCTGCACAAGGCTTTTTAAAAGTGTAGCAAAGCAGAACATAACAGTATGATATAGCACATAACTGCTGATTTGCAGGTGACAGGTGAACCCGCGCAAGGGAAAGACTGCTTCTGAACCTAGGGAACAGAGCGACTTGGCCTGAGTTAGTTATTTTTCCTATGCCCCGCTGGCCAACCATAGTTGCACACACATGATAGTTTCCAATTGGTTAAACTGAACTGAAATGACTTTGAAACAGGTGGATTTTGTTGGCAGAGCTTAGAGATGTTTGAGGCAGAGGATGCATATAAACCGACATTTCTATGGACCAGGAGTGTGGGAGGACGTACTTGGAGAATGGGGGGTAGACCAGTTTCACAGAATAATGGGGTGCGAGGTACAAATGATGTCTCATTTTTGGGTTGTGCCATTCCTATTTGCACGATGTCTTCCTGTATCTTAGACTGTCCGGCGTGGACAACTGCCTAGTGCCTGTCTGGGCTGTGCTTCCTAAGACTGGAAGCTCCTGTTAACGGAAAGCTGGATGTCTGGTTTCCATGGAAGCTCCTGGGTCCAAGCCCAGATCCAGAATTTCTCTGGATGGAACTCAGAGCCACATGCGTGACTCTGAACCAGCTTCACATGATGAGGAACTCAAGGATTTTTGATCAAGGAAGTAGCAGAGTGAGAGCGGTGTTTTCTTTTCTTTTCTTTCTTTTTTTTTCTTTTTTGGTACTGGGAATCGAACTCAGGACCTTGCACTTGCCAGGCAGGTGCTTGTGCCACTGAGCTATATCCCCAGCCCTAAGAGCTGTGTTTTCAAAAGGCCCCTCTGTTGACTCTATGTGGGACTGGTGGGAGTGGGAAGAGAGCGGGAAACCACACTGGAAGCTCCTGTAACCATCCAGGCTAAAGGCCCTAGAAATAAGAATAAGAAAAGAAATCAAAGGCAAAATGCTCTAAGATATAATCACCTAAAACTAGGCCTGGATTCTCTCCGTGAAAATGTCTTTTAAAATATATACCTTTTTAATATTTGTGTTCAACCTTATAGTTTTTTTGGGTTTTTTGGTACCAGGAATTGAGCTCAGGACCTGTGTGCCACTGAGCTGTATCCCCAGCTCTCCTTCTACCTTATAAAATGTATAACTGCATCGGTCTGCCTGGTGAGAAAGCACAGACTACAAAGATAGCCAGAAACTCCAGCTCTGGAGGATTAGGGGGTACCAGTCATGCTCTCTTCCTCCTCCTCCTCCTCCTCCTCTTGTGCTCAAAAAGTCCGTTCCACTGGGGAGCATGTGAGGCTCAGGGGCTGGCGAAGGAGTCAGTACAGAGATGAATATTGGGTCTGAAAGGATGGACAGAAAGTGGGTCAAGCTGATTTTTCTCTCCTGGTTTTTTTACCTGGAAATAATAGTCAGACTTCTCTTAAGAGTCAGATGAAATATATTTTAACAAGCTATATGCTTGTTTTTCACAAAAGGAGAATAAAAAGCACCTTAAACACACAGGATACTGTAAACTGCACATCTGTGAACATGCGACCTTCTGCAGAGCAGAAGCACTTCAGAAGCCATTGATCACTATGTCAAGAGATGTTCTGCGTTGATTTTTAGCTCCACTGTGTCTTTTACAATTTTTGAGTTAGCAGATGTAATCCTTAATGCCTCATCTAAATAGATTTCAAAGCATATGAACAGAAAGGGGGCTGTTAGGTTTAATAGGATCCCATGGACGTTCCCATAGGGTCCACATTGCAAAACAAGGGAAACCTGTGTGTCTGGCATCTCCCGGATGTAGGTCATAGAATCCAGGAGGCACATCGTGTCGAAGAGACTAGGACAGGATTATAAGCAGGATGACACTGGCTCCAATGGCAGCTCTTTGCAGGGTCAGTTGAGAGCAGACGGACTTGTGGGTTGTTAATGGAACCGTAACAGTGTTTGGGTTGTCTGAGCTCATCCATTGAGGCTTGGGTGGGTGTGCAGCCAGCATGGGAGAGCAAGTTCTCTTCAGTTGTGCGGTGAAAAGAACTGCATGTCTAGTGGGTCTTGTGAAGGACAGCACGATCTCTCCACCAGAGAAGGACGAAGTAGCTACAGGAAGTATCCGTGAGATTGTGCCCCTAACCCAGGCCACCTTTCCATTGTTCACAAAAAAGCCCCCCAAAGAGGGGTGGCTTACTTTTTGGTCCTGAAAGGACATCATTTTATCAGAAATGGTCAGACACCTTTTCCATAACAAAGTGAACATCACCAAAAATGCTACCCTGCTTCTTAGAGATGGGGGAATTTGTCATTTGCTTCACGGTCTTTTTTTTTTTTCTCCGGTACCGGGAACCGAACTCACAACCTTGCGCTTGCCAGGCAGGCGCTTTTGCCACTGAGCTAAATCCCCAGCCCCTGCTTCACGGTCTTTATCAAATCTAGGGCACATGCTGTCCGACTCCTTTCTGCGACTCTCACGGAGCCACCCCCTTGCTCACCCTTGGAAAGGGTCTCTCTGCCCCTGCCTTCTCTCCACAGGTGATCCTGTGCCTTCTCTCCCTCAGCCCCACAGCTGAATCGCTGTTCACTTACTGCCATCTAGCGGCTCGGCATTGCCTGAGCCCTTCCCGGGTTAATCTTTCATAAACATTTCCTCTCGCTGGATTCACAGCAAACTGAAAGGGTACAGATGGATGTTTAGGATGGTTAGTAATGCGCCGAGGGAGATTGTCACCTTTGTTGTTGTTTTGAATGGAGCTGGCCTCTCCCTAAACACACACACACACACACACACACACACACACACACACTCTCTCACACTCAGGGAAACAGATCTGTAATCATTTATTCTCTTTGTGCCACAGAGAGCAAGGAATCAATCCCCAGTCAGGGATAGTTTTACTCTCTCTCCTCAAGGGCATTTGACAATCACCAGACACATTCTTGATTCTCACAAGTTGCAAGGGACAGGAGGGAGAGCTACTTGCATGTGGCCAGAACCGCTCTAAACACCCTAAAATGCATGGACTACATAGCAAGACCCTGTCTCAAAAAAACTCAATACTAAAAAAAAAAAAAAAAAAAAAAGTACGGGCCAGGCCCTCACAAAAGGAATTATTTGGCCCCAAACTCAAAGAGCAAATTTGAGAAGACTTCTCATTTTCCTCCACTGGGTGTCTGTACACACCCTCCCTCATCTCTCTCCGTCCCTCTCCCTTGTCACAAGCTCCCAGTGCCTCCCTTAGGTGGCACCAGTACCACCAAAATGAAGGATGTTTTCCAGACAAGCACCATCTCCCCTCTGGCCAAGCCAGGCGCCCCTTGAACAAGCCCTGGGGAAACTTTCTTGTCCATGCCATGCCCCGCAAAACTACCCAGGGAGACACGTCCAGCTGCTGTCCTAAGTGCTCCGCTCTCCTGAGAGACACAGTGCATCGTGGGGGAGCCGGAGAGCAGGAGCCGCTCCGCCTCTGCGCGCTGAGGACCTGCAGTCAGCTCCACTTTCAGCTCTGCTTCTCCCCGCAGGGAGCTGGAAGACTTTGTTGAAGACTTAAAGAAGGACTCTTCTTCTGCTGGCCGCGTGGTCACTCTAAAGGACGTGGAGGATGGGGCTTTCCTCCTGCGACAAGTGGGGGAGGCTGTGGCCACCCTGAAAGGTAAGTGTTCTGCTCAACAGGGAGAAGTCTGAAGTGTGTTGCTTTGGATTTTTAAAACCTGTCAAGTAAGCACAAAGTGTGGTGACACATGCCTGCAGTCCCAGCTGCTTGGGAGGCTGAGGCTGGCGGATTACTTGAGCCCAGGAGTTCAAGACCAGCCCAGGCAACATAGCACGAGCCTATCTCAAAAGGAAAAAAAGGCCACCAAATATAAAGGATTCACTCGTGTGTGCATGCAAATGTTTACCACTGCCTTCGCACACCAGGCAGTCGGTACAGAACAAAGCAGGCCACCGCTCCTGTCTTCTGAGAGCTTATGTTTTAGTGGGTGCTATAGGATTTCAGACCGAGTGATACCTGGAATGCCGTCCCCTCGCCGTTATCTTAGCCGGGCTCTTACAGCATGCCGGGACACCTGCGCCGAGCTCGTTCAAAACCACACGTTCAGTTGAGCTTTCCCAAACATGCCCCCGCGCATCACCTCCGCCATTCACAGTGCGTTTGGTCCACAGGAGAATTCCCGACCTTGCAGAACAGGATGCGCGCCGTGCTGCGCATCGAGGTGGAGGCCGTGCGCTTCCTCAAGGAGGAGCCGCACAAGCTGGACAGCCTGCTGAAGCGCGTGCGGGGCCTGACCGATGTCCTCACCGTGCTGCGAAGGTGACCGGGTGGCCGGGCTGGGGCAGCCTGCACGGGCCGGGCCGGGAGGCGGGGGACGGCGCTGGTGCCCTTGAATCCTGTCACCACCCCCAAGGCAGTTTCTTCTTCTCTGTGACATGTGCCATCTTCTGTGACTCCTCTAGCCCTGAACTTGTGTTGCAGTCGGGTAGGAGGCTGCAGTTCTTCTGCACAGACGTGCACGGTGCAGCTCAGTCGTGCCACGCTTGCCTAGCATGCAGGAAACCCTGGACTCCATCCCCAGAATCACAGCAAAAAATTAAGCTTCGTGTAAAAATAAAATTAGTAGACACCGTAAACATTTTTAAACAGTCATTTGAAAGTGGTGGGTTTTGGGGAAATATTGAATGAAGTTGAAGAATCAGGTAAAATAGCTTGCTAGCCTGCTTTACCTTGGAGGCATAGATGTTCAGTTAGAATAAAGTGTGTAGAAATAAACAAATCTTCCTTCAATCACCGACTCAAAGGGTCCCTGAGAGTTTATTGGTGCCACTTAGAAAGGAGAATTAAATCTCTCTCTTGAGTGGTCTGGGCTAGTTTCCTCACTGAGAGTAGACCTGCTTATCCCAGAGGGTCACTGTGGAGGAAAGACTCAGAGAAGTCTCTGGCCCATCCATGACTTTTGTGGAAAAGAAAGTTCCGGAACTCTACCATGACTGAAGAGGTGCTTACAAGGGCCAGGGGTGTAGCTCAGCGGTAGAGCAACTGCCTTGCAAGGACTTGGCCCTGGGCTCCGTCATCAGCATCGAGAGAGAGACAGAGAGAGAGAGAGAGAAGGGAGGGAGAGAGGGAGGGAAGGAAGGAAGGAAGGAAATAAATAATGCTGACATCTAAGTACTCAGGATTTGAGCTGTCACGAGCACCTTTGTAAATGCCCTCCCCTTCTGCCGTATGCACTCTTTCGGTTGCACTTAGATCTCTTTCTTCCCAGAGTAATAGTAAAAATAACTTACACTTAAGAGCACTTTCTATGCATTAGGTACTGCACTGAGCTACTTACATGCATGTAACTTGTTTAGTCTGGGAACTGTTATTTCCGTCATCTGTAGGTGGAATCTGAGGTTGGGAAAGGTCCCTGCATGTCAGGTGGGCTGGGATGGGAGCAAATAGTCTGACTCTAGAGTGACAATGGTGTCTTATCTCACAGTCAGGCAGTAAAATGGGGGGGGGGGTTCTCTGTGTGCTGCCCCACCCCAGGGCTGAGTATTATGGATAGCATAGTCTACCAGACCAGTGAGACCCCCTCCTGTATAAAACTTACTCTCACACCTGGGAACTGAGAATAAACTACTTCCCAACAGTGGCAGCCCCTGAGGTTTTAGTGGGGATCTGTTCTGTGTTTTTGTTTTTGTTTCTATTTTTAATAGGACTAGAAAAGTGTGGGGAAGTTACCATTTGGGCCCAGATTTCTGAGTAAATCCCACACAGAAGTAACAGGCAAGAAACTTCCTCCTGAGAATTTTAATCACCAACTATAACCAGATTTTTTTGTTTTGTTTTGTTTTTCTCCGGTACCGGAAACCGAACTCACGACCTTGCGCTTGCCAGGCAGGCGCTTTTGCCGCTGAGCTAAATCCCCAGCCCCAATATAACCAGATTTATAAGAGAGATATATTAAAGGTTCAGATAACATTAAGGTGATGTATCAATTATAAGAAGCAAGTTAGATTTTTCTAACCTGGAAAGAGGCCATTTGAGAGAAAGAAACTGCTCAAAAGGAAAGAACAACTGGGATGAGGGAAAAGAAAAGAAAGAAAGAAGGAAGGGAAAAACTATGTTGTATACACAAGATAGCTAAGGCAATTATACTAGTGAGTTCTAGTGGTTTATTACAAGGAACAGTTAATGTTTAATTGTTTGATCAGTCTTACATACCTAGATTTGCTTATCTGAATAACCACTTTGACAATAACAATATGTAATACAACAACCATTGTTAGTTTCCTATCACCTTGTTTTAAAATTCTGTATCGTTTTTATGTGTTTTGTTTATGTCTTTGTTTTTGTTATTTTGTTTTTTGTTCTTTCCCTTTGAGATAATTCTCCGGGGCAACTTATACAGTGACCTGTGTAAGTGACAGGGTGCCAGATGAACTCTGAATTCAAACCAAAAATGCCTCCTGCTGCACAATTTACATCTGTGCAGGGGAATGGATTTTATTTGCATTAAATTTTCTAATAAAGTCTTTCATTTTAAACAGCCTCAATTAACTTTTTCTCCTAAGAAGGCAAAAGTTTATTAAAATAATTCCTCATTAAGCTGTCACCCAAGAGTGTAGCACACTCACAAACCTGAAAGCCAGTCAGCATTATTAAGTGAACATAGGGGCCAGCAGAAAGCATTGTCTATTCTTTTTCTTTCCCCCTGAAAAACAGTTGAAAGATGTTTTTACAGCCAGCGTAAAGTGATGGGAGCTTAGTACTCATCTCAACTCCAGTGGATGCGATTAAAAAACCAGATTATGTGTTTTGCATATTATGGGAAATTTTTGTCTCATAAATACTCAGTGGTGAGACTGAAGCATAAAACCAGCTAAGTAACTTTTAAAATAAAAATAGAAGAAATTTTCACTGCCGTGGGCTATCCATCACAAGTCTGTTTATAATTATCTTTGTATTTTGTGTTTAGCACAACGGGAAGGTAGGAATCCTCATGTTCCTGAGGACATGCTGCTGTCCTTATCCCAGGACATAGCAGGTAGAACAGGTGAGAAACAGTCGCAGCTCAGAGCAGACTGAGAAGCCAGGAAAGATGCCACAGTGTGTGGCCCATGCTGCATCCGAGGTGTTGGGAAGACACCCAAACAGAGCTGCCAGCAGGAGCTTAGAGTAGGGCGGACATTGAAGACAGAGTTAGAAGTGTCTCCGCCCTGACCTGGAGGAAAAGAGAAAGGCAGGAAGGAAAAGAAGAAAGGAAGGACTTAGAATTGGAACTCGCCTTCACGGAGATGATTACTGAAAGTGGAAGAGATGGTCATGGCATGGTAAAGTGCTAGAGCTGGGAGAGAACAAAACTTTGAGAATATTTGGGGACTTAAGAGGCTGTGGTAGGTAAATTAAACAGCAAAAGAAACAATTGAGTAGCAGAGGAGAGTCATAGAATGAAACATCGTTTTCAAATCAGAGGTAACATGCTAGAAGCTTTTCAAATCAGAGGAGAAATGGAGCCTTTTTATAAGAAGAGAAGATGCAACTAACCAAAAATTATGGGTCAAATACTATGTTTGACTTTACAATATTAATTCTAACAATAGCCCCCAAGGAATGCGGTTATCGCTGTCATTATCATCCTCTTTATATTTTACAGAAAAGTATGTGAGGCTCTAAAAAGGTGATTTCCCCACATGCTGATAGAACTGGCACTTAAACACAGGCATGTCCAACTCCAGGGCCAGGCTTCTCCACTCCAGCCAGAGTGGAGGTGAATAGACTGCACGACATGACTTAGGGAATCAGAGGAAGATGAGGACGGGGCACATGGATAGGTATAGAGCCACAGTTATCCTGGCAGAAAGACCTGGGGATGCAGGAGAGCAGCAGGTTAGGCTACAAGAAGAGCAGGCAGAAGGTCTCAGATGTGGGCCATGCTACTCACTCACCCCGGGCAGTCCGTCAGCGAGAGCAGGTAGGAGGCTGTAGGAAGCTCTGTAAGAAGTGAGTGTATCTGAGGCTGGTACAGGCCAGGGTCAGGCGAAAGAGTCAGAGTCTTGTATGTCACACAGTTCGCTCCTGTCACCCCCCCACACAGCGATGGGCAGCACCAGTCTGAGCGCCGCAGTGTTAGTGGGGGAGGAGTGTCCATCTCCCGGGAAAGGCCTGGGACAGCAGCTGCAGAGAGGATGAGGGGACCCGGCAGGACCTTAGCAAGTTGCTAGAGAAACCCTCAACCCTGAGCTACTGCTCTGGGCTTTTGACTGTCTTCATCGCAGCTGGCTTTGGGCTGCATGACATTCGTGGAGTGCACCAGAACAATCAAATGAAATGATGCGTGTCAGCGGTTAATGCTGCTGTGTGTGTTTTCTCCTAGACATGTCACCGACGGGCTCCTGAAGGGCACAGATGCAGCCCAAGCCGCGCAGTATGTTGCTATGGAAAAGGCCACAGCTGCAGAAGTCCTGAAGAATCAGGAGGAGGCGGCCCATGCCTCCAGCCAGCCCCTCCATGGCCCCGGAGTCCCCGGAGACGTGAAATCGGAAGTGGTGGCCCTGTCCGGCATGATGGTTCACCATGCACAGAGCTCTCCTGTGGTCATCCAGCCCTCCCAGCACTCCTCAGCCCTGCTGAACCCCGCCCAGAATGTGCCTGGGGTGACGGGGGCACACACAGCCAGTCCTCCAGGGGTCGCCCAGGAAGTAACCCCTGCGATGCAGTCAGCCTCCACCCTGCAGTCCCCTCAGGCACCCATGAATGGTTCCGCCATGCAGAGTTTGTTCATTGAGGAAATCCACAGTGTGAGTGCCAAGAACAGGGCCGTGTCCATTGAGGTAGAGTCCTAGTTCCATTTCTCCAAACTCCATAAACCTAACCTTTTCCCTCAACGAGTTTACGGTCTGGATGGAGAGATAATATATTTGAATGCTATGTGGATTAAAGAAGTTTTTATCAAGGATAGATTTTTAGAACTAGAAATGGGATTCAGCGGGTTAAGGGAACAGAAGGGAAAGGTCATCTGGCTTGAGGAGGGTCATACCTAAACCGTAATAAGATGAGTCGCCTGTGTGCAGAGAAGTATTTAACAACGGGCTCTCTCGGAGAAAGCTCTAATTTGCGGCATTTGCCAGTTTCCATGGTGTAAATACTCCCACCGTGGCTGATTTCGTTGAATATGAACTTAGGGAGAAGTGGGGCCATTGGAGTATGCTGAGCCAGCGGGTGCTGCTGGCTGAAGCTTCTGGTATGCTGAGGCGGACCTGGGGCGGGTTTGCCACTAGTCTTGGAAGATAGGAGAAGCGAGTGTGCAAAGAAGGGTATTGGGGCATTCTGGGGTGGAGGAATGTTAGCGGGATGGCCTTTTGAAATAAGTAGAGGTACTTTTGATTTTAATGCAATTTTAATTTTAATTTAACATATTCTAATGTATCTTGATCATAAAACTTGAAGACGCTTACAAGTCACCTACATACTCTCCCTCCCGCTTTATAACTAAGAAAATGTGACCCAGATGGTCGTATAGAGATTCTTAGAAGGAAGTAGAACCAAGACAGAGGATGTTATTCATTTAGTGTATTTTTAACTGATGCATTACAACACAGTCATGGAGCACTGTGTGGTATAATCGGGACATAAGATTTTTGTTGTTGTTTTTGTTGTTAGTGTGTGTTTGGTTTTTATTCATTTGTTTGAACACCTCTTTAATGAAAATTCAGTTTTGAAAACAAAACTTTGGTAGTGGATGACACACCTTTGAAAGCATCATCTGTGTCTTTGTTACTTAGTGTTGGAGAAGCATATGGCGAGTGCTCAGTGATTTAAGGAAGGGATTGGGGTTTCTGAGCTTGCTTCTCTGTGGATGAATGTTGCCTGGGATGAAATCACAGCCAGTGCAGCTTTTTGTGGCAGACGGCAGAAGGGCTGGTAGCTGGGACCTGTCTTTTGTGTGTACGGGTCCCCACGGGTAGAAACGAGGGCATTATTTTACCAACACTTGCGCTGTTCTACACTTCCTTTCCTCTGTGATGTGAAATCTCTGAAGTAAGCTATCTTTTCCCTCTGGTTTTTAAACTTTCTTTGCTTGCCATTTTCTTTCAGAAAGCAGAAAGAAAATGGGAAGAGAAAAGGCAAAATCTGGAGCACTATAATGGGAAGGAGTTTGAGAAGCTTCTGGAAGAAGCTCAGGCCAACATCATGAAGTCGATCCCAAACCTGGAGATGCCGCCCACCTCGGGTCCACCACCAAAGGGGGACACCGCAGTGGACAAGTCAGAGCTGTCAGGTGAGTTCAGGCCAGAGTAGGTGCCTTGGGAGCAAGGCGGGACAACTGTCTTCAGTCTGTGGGGGCACGTGCACATTGGAGCTGGACAGTGGGACTAGTGACCCACTGCTTAAGAGAGAATCCTTGGGTGCTCCCTAGGCCCTCTCTACTCTTGAGCTGTCACCACAGCAGAGATAGTAGGACAATGTCCATGTCTTAGTAACTTTTCTCATTGTAGAGACTAAATACCTAACACCTACAAGTTAAGAGAGGAAAGATTTATTTAGCTCATAATGTATAGAGGTTTCAGTCCATAATTGGCTCCAAAGCAGGGTGAATGGCAGACAGGCATCAGAGAAGAGAAACAGTCCATGGCAGCAGAAGACCGCAAAAGCAAGCAAGCAAAGGGCAAGATAAGCCTGTTTCCGTCCCTTACGTGGTATCCAGGCTACTGGGGATTAGGGTGGTGCCAAACCAATCAGTGGGCTGATTTAATAATCACCCACCGTTAATCCCAGCACCCTTACTCCTAGCACTGCACCATGAATCAATCACAGTCTAGCTGGGCGTGGTCGCAAACACAGGAGGATTGTTGCAAATTCAAGACCAGCCTAGCTACAAAGTGAGCTCAAGGCCAGCCTGAACTGCACTGCATAGAAAGACCCTGTCTCAAAAAGACAACACACACATACACACACACACACACACACACAGTCTAGATTCATCCACCTCCGAAAAAAACCCACCTATGACTGCATGAGGCTTTGAGGGAACATCCTGACACCAACCAGAAGTGTCCAGTAAAGGAAAATGTAAATTCCCAGCTTCTGCATTTCCTAAATGGGCAATAATACATCATAGCATCAGCTTGGAGAAGCTGGGGCCTGCATTTGAAATAGGAAAGAAAATGCCAGGTTTCATGAGTTCCGCAGGGGATAGGAGAGCACTTTTTAAAGTGCAATCTTTAAAGCAAAATTCTTAGAATATACAGTTGTGCCTCGGTTCACGAACTTAATTCTTTCCATGATTCTAGTTGCAACCAAATTGCAAGCGGCTAACTCAGCTACCGAAATGTAAACATCAGTACGTTGATAATAACACCACATAGTGTGGTGGGCCCTGTATCGACATTTTGGCCAACAGTGGACCACATCAGGCTGCTGGCCTCGTGAGAGTTCATGGCCCAACGATGTGACCGTTTTAGTTTGTGTAGGTTCAGTCTGCGCAAGCGCACTCGATGTTCACGCATCAGCCGTCGCCTGAGGACTCATTTCTCAGAATGTAGCCCCGTCACGAAGTGTAACTTGCGCAGAACTCAAACTGTTAAATCTCCCACCACTGACAAACCACGTGTTTTACTCCAAACTTAAAACCGTGTTATTTTACTTGCAGCCTCGTATTGCTGCAGTGCCACGCTCAGCAACTGAAGTTCGTGTGAGCAGGAGTTGCCGCCTTTGCTTACAAGTCAAGGAGTAGTGCTAGGATTTGATGTGTCCCCTGGTGCGGCTGCTCCCGCGCTCCCATTCATTTCACCCCTAGAGCTCCACGGTCTCAGTCTGCGTCCAGAGGTCGGCCCCCTTCCCCACCTGGGGTGGGGAGCCTGTCAAGACCCCTGAACAGCTGGAGAGCCTGCCTGGGTAGAAAGTGGGCTGGGGAGGATGGTTCTTCCTCCCAGTCGCCACCCCAGCCCTGGGATTCCTGGTGGATAAAGCAACCTGCTTCATTGCACTTCTGTCCTGCATAATTCTGTCCCTGTTCTTAATTTTGCCATATTGTCCTTCAGTGCAGCTCTCACAACTGTTCCTTGTCACGCTGGTACAATGGAATTATCACGTATTACATTTTTGTTGCGCTTCACTTGTTCCTCTTTCAGATTGAAAACATTTTTGGCTGAACTTTAAAAATCACTCCTAACAGTATGTTTGCTCAGTTAAAATTCTGCTTTTTTCCTTCCTCCCATCCTCATCCCCTCTCTCCTCGCATCCTCCTCTTCTTCTTCTTCTCCACTGCGTGCTCTGACTTCTTCTCAGAAACAGTCTCCTGCCGTACATGTCAGCAGAAATATAAAGGCATCGTCCATTACCTAGAAACATTGGTTTCTGCCGTTTTCATCGATTTGCCATGGATGTTATTACTTTATGGATTTGTTTATTAATGAGGTAAAATTCTACAGGAGAGGGTTTAGACACCGTTTGTATTTCTTCTGGTATTAAGTATGTGATCACTTAAATAGGATGTATAGCGATCAAAAAATCAGTGGAAAAATTTAGAGACTGCGATCTCAGCCATTGTGAAAGGAAAATCATTCACTGGACATGTGGTTAAAAGAACGAGAAAGCTTTATTCCAGGCCCTTGCAATAGGGCAGAGGTAACAAGATGGAGACTGTGGCTGAACTTAATAGCAGGAGTCTTTGCTAAAATTGGGCTCAGTGACCAAGGCTGGGGAAGTGGGGAGGGCTTGAAGAAGGTTGGCCAAAGCCTGGTTGTGAAGGGCTCTGTTATCGCAGAGTGGAGCGGAGGGGAGGAGAGAGGACGGGAGGGGAGGAGAAGACAGGACAGGATAGGACAGGACCATCCCCTCCTGGGCTGGTCAGCTATGGAAATCCCTAGAGGAACACTCAACTCAGGATGTGGCCCCTTCAAGAGCTGCCACTGAGTAGCCAGCACCCTCAGGCGTGAGACTGGCCTGCTTTGGGTGCTGATGCTTTATCCAGGTCTAAATAGAAATCCAAGCGTTTCCTTGACACAACTCCATCTCAGTTTCCCAGCAAAGAAAAGCACACTCCTAGAAAGCCAGGCCACGTCCCTAGAGAGGAGGGGCAGAGCTCCAGATCCTGAAGTGCAAGTTCTACTGCTTTTGTGAGCCTTTCAGTCAAAAGCGGATAAAGAGCACAAATGAGGCCATCGAGGTGACTTTTGAGTAAGGAGTGGCTTTTCCTACCTGCTGGGGAAACTGAGGAACCACTTGCATCTCCTGCCTGTAGTGTTAAGACTAACTGACAATTCTCTGATCACTGCTCCTCTTGCTGGAAAATTCTTTTCCAACCACAGTGCTGTGATGCCCACTCCCCACTCACCGCCCCAAAACTCCGCTTCCTCTCTGGCTGTGTCATTTATTCCTATATCCTCTCTAGCTCCCTCAGCCAGATTGCTCTAACATTACTCCCTTAGCTGTATTACTCTGAATGTTAGATTACTCTAACATTCCCCTGCATGAATCCTTCTTGATAGAGCTGCTTCTTTGGACTGAAAGGATCAAGACTTGGAGGCCATGCAGAGAGTTCCGGATTTGTCTTTAGTTTCTGAGATACTCAGGAAATTTTACATTTTTCTGAGTGATCCTCAGCTTTTTGTAATGAAAAATTTGTTTAATAATAATAGCTAATACTGTTCGTAGCATTGCTAATGACCAAAGGCTGTGTATAAGTCATTTAGTTTTCAGAACTTCCCCGTGGAAAGGATATTCACGTAATTGAGGTAAAAATTGATTGAGTGACTTGTGCAGGGTCTTTCTGGGTTGTAAATGCAGATAGTCTTCAGGGTCTACATCTTAACCGTGGTTCAAGTCCATTTGCATCATGTTTAAGGCCATTCACTGGACTTTGTGGCTATTATCTTGAAAAGAAACCACGTCTGAACACATTGTTTTCCAGAAGACTCTCCAAATTCAGAACAGGACTTGGACAAGCTGGGGGGAAAGTCACCTCCTCCCCCGCCACCACCCCCTCGGTGGAGCTACCTGCCTGGATCGGGACTCACCACCACGAGGTCGGGCGACGTGGTCTACACCGGCAGGAAGGAGAGCGCCACCTCTAAGGTCTGAGGGCTTGAGTCCTGTTCAGGCAGCTCCTGGGTGCAGACGATACCCTTACACAGGATTCTTCTCTTTGTTTGAATGTGAAAAGCAGTGAGGCAGAGAAGCAGACTCTAATAAACTAGATCTCTAGGAAGTGCTAGAGAACTGTCAACCAGGGTTGGAGACGTAGCTCAGCACCTTGAGTTTTATCCTGGCCTGACTTCCAGCTGTGACAGTGTGAAATGCCAGCCACTAGCTACTTCCCCAGCAGGGTGTCACAAGATGGAGACGGGGGTGAGAGGGGAAGCAAAAGAAAGACTAATCTTACAAACGTAATTGAGATTAGCTGACGTCATTGTAGGAATTTACATAGAAAGATGTTAAATGAACCACACCTTGCACGTAACTTGCTAAGTTTCGTCTTCTATTAAGATATAATTTTCAGAGCCAGGCGTGGTAGTACACACCTGTAATCCCAGCACTTCGGAGGCTGAGACAGGAGGATTGCCATGAGTTGAGGCCAGCCTGGGCTGCATAGCAAACCCTGTTTCAAAAAACAAACAAACAAACAAAATTAAGTTTCAAAGAAATGGGGGGAAGGTCTTTCTTGAAGATAGTAAACATTGAGGAATTACAGTTTTATTAAAATTCTTCTTGTCCGTTCACCAAAATAACAACTTACTCAAACAGCTATTTGAGCTAAATGCAAGGGAATAAAATAGCTTCTCAGCTAGACATAAAGAGCAGGGAGCCACTAGAGCAGACTGTGGGGGCTGCGTGACCTGCCCCCTTTCCCCTGCCCCTGAGAGCTGTTAAGCCAGTGTTTATGACTTAAATCCCCACAGGCAAGTGGTGAAGATGCAGGACCAAGCCCACAGAGTCGAGCCACAAAATGCCCTTTGGAGGAGCCCGCTGCAGCCTGGACCCCTGCCCCACCACCTGTCATTACCTCTTCCTCAAAGGGGGATGAGGAAGAGGAAGAAGAAGGAGACAAAATCATGGCAGAGCTCCAGGTACGTGGACCAGGTGACCGCTGCTGGCCCCCTGCCTTCTCACCGTAGCTCTCAGAGCTGCTACAGCTGAGGGCCAGCAGGGGTTGCATCAGCTACGCCTCTGGCCATCCCCTCCATTTTTCCAAGGTGACACTGAACCACAGTCCCCGTGTAAGACATGTGTGAGGAAGGACCATTTCACTGCACAGCCCAGATAGATGTTTCACTATCTGGAAACATCAGCCGCACACCTCCCTAGCTCTGGCTGCTAGGATTTACTTTCCTTCCTTCTAGACTTAAAACTCTGCTTCATCTCAAAAGTGATTCGGACAGTGATTAGAAAGACAGCGTTGTCTGTCTTAATAAGGACTGACCGAAGCACACTTGTGTGGGTTCCTGTGCTGTGGCTTTACCCTTTAATGGACTGATCCTGAATTGTGACTCAGGGCCAGGGACTGGCCCCCTGTAGCTCATACGGCTTCCTGTTTGATGTCATCTTGTCAGAGGTTCTGAAGAGTTCAATGACTTTGTTTCCCGTTTTCCTTGGCCTATTGGAGAAATGATACTTTACTACTTTAGGTCTTTACTTTTTAAGTATTAGACATAGTTGACTCATAGGATTAAGGATACGATACAGTCACTGTAGGTAAAACGGATCCCCTGTTCTGACCACGGATGTGACTCTGCCCTAGAAGCGTGTGCTCGGAGAACTTGTCTAATTACAGACACGTGTGCTTTGGTTAACTCATGTTTATTATACGCTGCTTCTGTCAATCAGGTAGTCAGACCACAACCTCCTTGGGGCCTCGGAGCATGTTGTAATAGCACCACTGTACCAGTGGTTTTGTGCAAGCCTGTTAATTTTCAAATTTCATTTGGAGTAGGGAGAAATTTCAAACCATGTTATTTTCAAGGCAGTTGTTCTACTCTGGTTTCCATGGAAATAGTTACCAAAATTGAGCTGCCTGGATTTTCCAGAGAAGATGGGGCTGCTGATTGTGTGGTCATGCACAGGCAGCCTTTCACGCTTCCCTAAAACTCACAGACTGGCCTGGGACCTTCCCTCCACCAATCAGTCTGTTCACAGCTTTCAAGACTGATCAGAGACTCATTCATAGGAACCATAGCTTTCTAATGTTAGGAACCTGCAGATCTGTGAATCCTCCAGTTTAGCTCTCTAAGAGAAGTCACACATTTGCTATGAGTGCTCACTTCCAGCCCATCACTTGGTGAGGTTTTCCTGTGCTGAAGTCTTTGTCTTTTTTGGGGGGGAGGTTTTCTCCGGTACCAGGAACCGAACTCATGACATTGCGCTTGCCAGGCAGGCACTTTGCCGCTGAGCTAAATCCCCAGCCCCTGAAGTCTTTGTCTTTGCTGAATACCTCATAAAAAGTAGAGTGTCCAATCGCTTCCCCTGTGATTGGTACCAATGTAACAGTGGTGAATCAAGAGCTCTAACCCTAACTCAGCGAAACCCTCCCACTGGGATGAAGACCCAAGCTGCTGAACCAGAAAGCTGGCCAAGGGCCCACGGCTGTGAGGGTTTCTTTGCCTGTGCACTCTCGGGGGTTAGGTCCCAGGCAGGATAAGGAGACTGCAGCCTCCTCTAAGACTAGTTATGGAACAGCTTCATATGGTCTTGTCACTGGACATTGGGAAAAAAACACAGGTTGCAAAATCCAGACCTTCACAGCCCAAAGCAAATGGCACATGACCTCAGCACGTCCAAGATGAGCGAAGCACAACCGAAGCACAGCAGGACTGGCTTCCCGGGAGGCAGCAGGGAGTGAAGGTGCAGCCAGAACAGAACAGACAGAGTGAAATTCCCAGTGATAACACTTGACATTTTAAAAAAGCACTAAGCAGTGATTTAAGATGATTCACATTATTAGGAAGGCACTTGTAAAACGAAATATCCTACCCCCCAGGCATTCTGATTTACCTCTTCTCTGAGTGGGGCGTGGGTAACAGTACTTTTTAAAGAAGGGGAATTGTTGAGAGCCACAAATGTTCATGAAGTTGGGTCCCGGAGTCCTTATCTCTCCTTTGGCCATGACTGTGGTTTCTGGAGCTGGGACACCCGTTGTCTCTTTTGGCCATACAGATTCTATCTTTGTCTGAGAACTGACCCGCCTGACTCAGCGTCACACAAGCCCACTATGGGCCCTCACAGTCACCACAGTTGGCTTCTGGAGGCAAATCTGTTTAGCTCAGGTGGCTCCCGGGCCCCTGGGGCATCACTGTACTGTAAGCCAGCCCCAGAGCATGGGAGGGCCTGTCACTGTTTCAGAGAGTGGCTTTGCTAAGGAATAGTTTTAGGGTTTAAAGGGTTAAAATGTCTTGTGAGGGTTTTTTTGTTGTTTTGTTTTTCTATAATTTCAGCAAAGCTAGTAAAAGATGAAGGAAAAAGAAAGGTATCTCTTTGTTTTAATTCACTTGCATGTTCAACATTATGAAAAGGTCAAGCCAGGAGCTCTATCGAATAAATTCAAATCATGTTCATGGGATAGAAGAGTGTTCCTTCTCTTTTTGTGTGTGTGCTGGGAATTGAACTCAGGACCTCACACCTGCTAAGCAAGTGCTCTCCCCGCAAGCCGCACCCCAGCCTGAGGGCGTCCCCTTTAGGGCTCTGCCACCTCATCCTGGTTAGGAAGTCTTTCCCTGGCCTCTGCCCCCAGCCCCCTCTGCAAACTTGAGGCCCAGCAAGGCGCAGGATCTCGGGTGCTATCTCCCTGAGGTGAGCTTCCCTGCAGCACCAGGGCTGGGGATCCCCACACCTCTGGATTCCTGTGTTTCCTCTTTTCTCCTTGTACACTTGGATCCCTGTTAACCTCCATATTTTAATTCCTTAGGCATTCCAGAAGTGTTCCTTTATGGATGTAAATTCAAACAGTCATGCCGAACAGTCCCGGGCTGACAGTCACGTTAAAGACCCTAGGCCAGGCGTCACAGCCCTACCCAAGGAGAAGAAGGTAACGACGTGGCAATTACATGTTTGCCACATGGTCAGACAGCCCTGCCCTCCTTGCTCTGATACTAACATGGCCCTCTTGCGCTTGACCTTCATTTCCTCTCTCTTTTTCCCACTCTCTCCTTTTTTTTTTTTTTTTTTAAACTAATAGAGCCATAGGTTTAGGTGAAGATCAGAGATACCTGGCTCAGGTTTCTAGCATAACAGCTGTGTTCCTGGCACACAATAGTGCACGGAAAAACTAGACAGTATCTTCCAAAACTAAGGAATAGTTCCCTTCCAAGGTTTTCTACAACAGTTTTAAAAAACATAACAAAAAATAGTGGTCAACTACAGAAACGTTTCTCTGTTGTTAACATGTGTTCTAGAAAATAAACAAAAAATTGATGTTAAAAATAGGTAAAAACCTCAGATTCAGGGAAGACGTTCACAACAGAAAATACCCATCAACACATAGCTACGAGGGTAGAACGGTGGAACCACATAAGCATGTATTTGCAGCTACATCTAGGGATGCCAAACAGAATTTTTGCAAAGTATTACCACTTTTTAAAGTGTATCTTCTAAGATAGCAAGCTCAGTATTATTTTGGTGCTAAAATATATCTATGGCTGTTATGGCCTAAGTACTTTAGGGAAAGGATTTGGTCTGCCTGTGAGAGCTGCAATTTTAAGTGGAATCTAGACCATTTATAATTTGGGGATTCCAAGTCATCTTATTTTAATTAAGATTCGATATAACTTCTAGGGTAAAAGCTGTACCAACTCAAGTCCTAGTAAGAACTTATGTTTCAGAATTCAGGGTCACTACTTGCCCTTAGAGGCATACATTAGCGTCAGTATAGCCCAGTAGATACTCTAATTGGGTTCTGTGGGCCATGAGTCAGACAGTTCAGTGAGGTGGATGCCGTATCATGATGTGGGAGGACTAATCTAACCCAAACTTCAGGACACCAGCTCCTGTCAGGCTCGTGGGCATCAAAGAGCCCTGTGTGAATCACGACTGCCACGTTACAGACATGTGAAACAGCCAACAATAGGAGGGAGTTTTCCCTTGGGCATGGTGGCACAGCCCGCAATCCCAGCACTCTGGGAGGCTGAGGCAGAAGGATTGCAAGTTCAAGGCCAGCCTGGGAAACTCAATGACTTAGTAACACTCAGTTTCAAACTAAAAAACAAAGTAGAAGATCTGATTTTGTACCAGGGGAGATTATTAGATTATTCCTGGTAAATCTCTCTTAGGACGAAAACCTACTTATTTGAACTAAACCCATGAAATCACATTGGGAACATATGACTTTTCCTGCATATGGAATTTTCCTTTGTGGCCTTATTAAAACTAATTCATGGGAGTCCCAGCTTAGTGTACTTGGGCCCATGTGACCATTTCTGTCTAAAACATTAACAGTGAACTTGAAGCTTCTCGAACACCTCCCTGGGGGCAATCATTGTTTCATCATTGAAATTTTCTTATTGCCTAGAAGGTTGCATTGAGATTTCTGGTCCCGCAATCAAGGATCCATTGGAAAAGCAGCAGTGCCCAGTCCTGGGTTTAACTGCAGGAGCTTACTCTGCCTAATCACCGTCTACCCAGTGGAGAGATCCACTTCATAACAAGAAGTAGTAGACTAGTTGTCTGATTTTTGTCATTAAGCTCTACCTAGGCAGTTCATTTACCCTTTTGTAAATCACATGCTTTCTTAAATTTTTTTTCTCTTATCATAAGGAAGCCTCCAGACTTGTACTTTACCTTTATGTAATTTTCCTGTACTATATCTCTAATTTTGGGTTATTGTCCATGTGCATACTGAGTGTGGTTCTCCAGTTGCCTAAGTAATCCAGATTTGGGGCTCTCAAAACAGGTATGAAAGAGGTTTAATTACCTTTCAGGCAGAGTCTTAACTATCAAAGACTAAGGAATCATTGGGCATTTTTTTTAGTCATTGGGCATTTATAGGACGATTGTGATCAAGTTCTTCTGGATGCAGTTCCTTCATGCACATGCTTTGATACATTTATTCCTTTTTCTAATCCAGTGACAAAATTAATAGTTTGTGTGAAAACTACATGTGAGATCTTCTACTTAGTGATTTTTTATTAGAGTACCCTCGGTACCAAATCAGTATTAAAAAACACATATTGCAGTGACACTGGAAATATTCAACCATGGATACAGCACAGGCCCAGATTAGCCAGAACAGATGCCTGCCCTAACTCTGAGTAAATGCAGACAGCAGGACACCAGCCAGGTCTGTGTTCTTGTGAGATCACAGCCCAATCCCTTCTTTGATTCAGAGAGTAAATTCTCACTCCTGCCGTAATATAATATGCTAACTCCCTTTGTAAGCTGAAACTTTGGGCTGGAAGCTCATTTACTTTTTTCCGTAAAACCTTGGACTTGATCTGATAGTTGTCGTATCTAAATTTAAGACCCCCCAAGAAAATTAGGTGGTTCAAATGCAACACCTGGTTCGCTACCCTTGTTTGGCGACTTCATGGGAGACAAACAGAAATTAAACAGGAATTATTTGGTAACTAATGTACTTTGTACCTTGTGACTATTTCCATGTGATTAATACCAACTTTGTTGTTTGTGTGTTGTCCGTGAATGTGTGTGAACATTCTTTCCATTTTTAACCAGGAAAGGAGGACTGCTCTGGGCTGACTTTGGCTCAGCCAGGGGTAATATGCTTTGTTATGTTGTTATAGCTTTAACAAAATCGCCTTCAGTGGAACTGTGTTCCACCCCGTTACAATCATCATTTCTTCTTGGGCTTCTGCAGCAAGAAGAAAGGGCAGTAGTGCCTTGGAAGTGCTAGTGTTGGGTTATGCAAGGCCTCAGGTGCTCATGCCCAGGATGGAAAGGCCGGGCTTCCTAGACAGCACTCAGTACCTGCATCCTCATGGTTGGGTCCTTCGCTTCTGAATTTTGGGGAGACCCTCAGAAGTGTAACTTTGCTCTGCACTGTGAAATACAGACAATGGAAGCTGCATTGTAAAATGCAGAAAATAAAAGCTGAATTGGGGGTTGGGAAAGTGGCACAGTGGTAGAACATCTGCATAGCATGGGTGGGGCTCTGGGTTCCATCTCCAGCACCACAAAAGAAAGAAGAAAAAAGGCTGCATCATGATGTCATAGTCCCCACCTGACCTTTAAATATACACACTGTGTTTAGATGACAGTTGCGCACACACCACCACATAATGACATTTTGGTCAACAGTGGACCTGTATGCCATGGTGATCCCAAGGAAATGAGAACAGAGCTGAAAAGCCCTCCATCCCTCCTGTCCCACAGCCATCCTGAGGTCCTAGCACAAGGCATTGTTCACATGCTTTTAGTGAGGGTGATGGAAACAAACCTGCTGCAATACAGTTACGGACAGTGTACAATACTGGATCAGGATAAACAGCTATGGCACTGTTTTGTGTATTTGGTTTATGTCAGTGGTTTAGAGTGTATCTCTTCTACTTATTAAAAAAAATAAGCTTAGGCCAGCAGCAGCTTCATATGTGGCATGTTTACTCCGTCCCTTAATTGCACCGAGAGGCCACAATGAGTGATTGAACCATACCCTCTCAGTTCCTGTAAGAACACTTTACACCATCTGCACCATGACAGAATCACCTGTGGTGCATTCCTCAGAATGCGCCCCCTCACACAGCATTGAGTGGTGTCTGACTACATACCGGGGCAGCAGCAGCACCATAAATTTGAATCTGATCATCTTGGTTATTATTCATTTGGAGATTATTTTGACACTTTGATACTTGTAGTATAAACCGCAGGGATATTTTTAATCTGTCACTTCACCAGGGAAAAGTCATGGTTTGTTTTTTTTTTTTTCCCATCCCAAATGACCACACCAAACCAGTACAGCAGTTTTTCTAGGACAGATTTCATAAATGAAGCAGAAATTGGTCAGATTTGGTGACAGAGATCTATAATTCCAGCTCCTCTTGAGGTTTGAGACCAGGCTGGGCAACTTGGCAAGACCGTCTCAAAGTTAAAAGGGCAGGGGATGCAGCTCAGTGGGAGAGTGTTTGCCTTGTATGCATAAATCTCTGGGTTCTATTTCTAGTATCCAAGTTGGGGGACAGGACTGAAACAACTAGGTAAAAGAAGCAGACATGGTCTCCTCCCTCAGTTCATGGGCCAGGAAACTGTGGCACAGAGAAGGGAAATAGAAATAAGGGATTGCCTAAAGTTACTTAGCAGTGAGGCAGGTCTGGATTAGAAGTGAAACATTCTGCTTGCCCCGAGCATTGTGCTTGCTGTAGTTCTTGTCTTTGTAGATTTTGGTAAGCTCACAATCAGCTGTTGATTGGTCCCTTTATTTATTTATTTATTTTGGTACTGAGAATCGAACTCAAGACCTTGTGCTTGCCAGGCAGGCGCTGTGCCGCTATCTCCCTGGCCCTGATCCCTTTGTCCTTTCAACTGCTCCTCCACAAAACCTGAAATACGTGAAATACTTTGCTAATTGAGATTTTCATCTTGTGCAAACACAGGGCATTGTTGGAAGTTGGAGAACAGAACAAGCCCAGGTAAACAGAGCTATAGGTTTTGGTTTGGCATGTAGCAGTTGTGCTTGGCAGCGTGTCTGGAAATGTAATTAAAGGAACAATTTAGTTGTAGTCCACTTTGGGGGGATGTGGTTTTGTGGAGTAACGTGTCCTACACTATTCTACCAGAATTTGGAATTTTTCCCTGAAGATGTTCGAAAATCTGATGTTGAATATGAAAATGGCCCCCCAGTGGAAGCTCAGAAGGTGAGTGCGCCAGACCTGTGTTCCAGCCGATACCGTGCAGCTTAATTAGTGTCCTGGCCAGGCTCATTTCTGATTGATGTGTGTGGTTCCCCTCTCAGGTTCCCACAGGGGTTCAAAGACCTAGTGACCCTCCTAAGTGGGAAACAGGACTGGAGAATAGCGTTCCTGATGCATCAAGAACATCAGAATGTAAACCTGACAACTTAATGAAGGAAAGTTCCTCAGCCAATAAAAGTTTATTCAGGGGCAGTAGAAACTATTGCCAGAAAAATGTGCCTAAGGTCATTTTCAATTTCACTGGCACGAATTCATTAGAAGATGACATAAACAAAGGGCCTAAAGACCCAGGCCTGCAGCACCCTCTACCTGACACTGACTGTCCAAAGGTGACTTACGGAAAGACAAAAGACACGGGTGAGCAAGGACAAGAAAGTACAGACAAGAGTCACATTCTTTCCCCTGTGAGATCCACAGAATCGAGTGTCCATGACGTCAAAATGGCAGATCCGGAAGTGCTCATGACAGACTTCGGCCAAGTTGTGCTGAGACCCAAAGGGACAAGGCATGCGAGTGTAATTCCCCATGAGAATGGAGAGTCCACCCCAAGTTCTCCCACTGAAGAAAACGCAGCCACCGCCGACAACATTGCCTTTATGATCACCAAAACCGCTGTCCAGGTTCTATCCAGTGGCGAGGTCCATGATATAGTGAGCCAAAAGGGACAGGAGGTACAGACTGTGAACATCAATGCCAAAAGAGAGACGACTCTGCAGCAGCAAGGGGCTGAAACTGAAGAGCCTGTTGTGTGTCTGGACAAGAAACCAGTCATCATCATTTTTGAGGAACCCATGGACATCCGGTCTGCCTATAAGAGACTTTCGACCATCTTTGAGGAATGTGATGAGGAGCTAGAGAGAATGATGACAGAGGAAAAGATAGAGGAGGAGGAAGAGGAGGAAAACGGAGACCCAGTAGTCCAGAGTAACACTTCCCGGAAGTCTCCTCAGCAGGTTGCCTCTGGCATCCATCGTGTGGGACAGCAGGAGGGGACGAAATTCCAGCCGTACCTCCTGTCCACAGAGACCAAGACCCCAGGAAGACAGGAAGCGAATAAAAGCGACCAGAGCACGTCCAGCCCCGCAGACTCTCCTAACGCAGACAGCAAGTGTGACATGGCCGATGACCAATTTGAAAGCCCCAAGAAAAAGTTTAAATTCAAGTTCCCCAAGAAGCAACTCGCCGCTCTCACTCAGGCGATTCGCACAGGAACCAAAACGGGGAAGAAGACCCTGCAGGTGGTGGTGTACGAAGAGGAGGAAGAGGACGGCGCTCTGAAACAGCACAGGGAAGCCAAGCGCTTCGAAATCACCAGGTCACAGCCCGAGGACACCTTGAGAAATCTAGCCAGGAGGCCAGAGCCGCCCAGTCTAGAGAGCACATGTCAGATCTCAAGAACTGACGAGATTAGAAAAAATACCTACCGAACGCTGGACAGCCTCGAGCAGACCATTAAACAGCTCGAAAACACGATCAGTGAGATGAGTCCCAAAGCCCTAGGGGAAACCGCGTGTTCTTCCGACAGAGCTTCTGTCGCAAGCTCACCCCACACGGCCCACGAGGCCTCTCCCCGAAACTTGCTAGTTCTGGATGAAGCCCCCCCTGCCGTAGAGCCCCCCACGTCAGTATCTGCAGCTTCACGTAAGGTATCTTGGTCTGGTGGAAAAATGAAAAGACCCCTCCCCCAGCTGCTTTCTTAAAAATCTGCCATAATCACTGTTAGCAGAAGGTGTCTTGTGATTTAATTGCTTCCTTTCAGGTGGCTCGTGTAGTTTGTCTTTGCACCATGATATCCTTTTCCCCTCTCTCCCTCACCTTACAAACAACAACTAGGCGTCTAACCGCTAATTGATTCTGTTTTTACCTCTGTTGCTGATCGGTGCTGGGTAAACGTGAGGACGGTGGGCCGGCCATTTGCTGTTGAAACGATTGCTCTGATACATTAAAATCTGTTGGATCAGTAGTGAGCGGTTCATTCTGTGTGATTCTTCTGATTAACCCCAGCTGGTGTCTCAATCTGTCCTGCATGCAGGGCTCTGGCTTCTCACCTTGACCTTCTCTGCGCGCCGTGGGGCAGCCTTGGCCGTAATCCACTCACGTGCCTCTCTTTCTCTCCCCGTTCTCGCTGATTCTTCCCGCAGGGCTCCAGTGCAACCCCACAGACAAGCCGGATGCCTGTTCCTATGAGTTCCAAGAGCCGACCCGGCAGCCTGGACAAACCCAGCAAGCAGTCCAAACTGCAGGATCCCCGCCAGTACCGTCAGGTAGTTTTACCTTAAACCCACTTTTGGATGGACATTCTTGCAGTTAAGAAGCGCAAATCTCTTGACTTAGTTTATACCAGATACTGTGTTTTCTTGTCAGATATGGTTTACATAGACACCCTGGATCTGGGGGCATGAAGAAAGTCTAAAATACCTTTGTCACTTTTCTCCACGCTCTTGCATGCATGCAATAACACATCATTACTTTAGGACTCCAAATTTTAACTGTAAATTTTAACCGTGCCGGACTGGTGGAATTTTTTTGGTGAATATAGTGCCACATCAGAACACTTTGGGAAAGAGAAAAACCAGCTGGTTGTTGACCCGCCCTTAAAGTCACCAATACGGTGTTGACTGTGTCGCCTTAGGAGCACACTCAGGCGCCCTCGCACACGCACGTCCAGCCCGGCTGGTCCTCATCCCCACCGTGGCCCCCCTGGCACTCAGCGTGGTCACTGCAGTGACGGACGTGCATTCTCCCTTTCTGTCTGGGCTCAGTATCCTGCCATGCGCTAGTGGGGGGTCTCCACCAGATCCAGAGAAGCACAGGATGTAGCTCAGGCCTTGAACGGTGGGTTGTGATTTTGCTGAACGATTCTCAGAGGGGCTGTGTTGCCAAGCCCTGAGGGTCGCTGTGTTACCAGCTTTCTGACGAACTGTCTCCCGCCATCTCTGTTCGCAGGCTAATGGAAGTGCTAAGAAAGCTGGTGGGGATTGTAAGCCTACTTCCCCCTCCTTCCCTGCTTCTAAGATCCCAGCCCTTTCTCCCAGCTCTGGGAAAAGCAGTTCTCTGCCCTCTTCTAGTGGTGACAGCTCTAACCTCCCTAATCCACCTGCTGCTAAACCATCGGTTGCTTCTAACCCTCTCAGCCCCCAAACAGGACGACCCGCACACTCCGCCTCCCACATCCCTTCTGTCTCTAATGGCTCCTTAAAGTTTCAGAGCCCCACTCACACCGGGAAGAGTCCCCACCTCTTCTCACCGCAGACTCCCAATGGCCGGGCCGCCCCTCCTGCCTCAGCCTCCGCCTCGCCCTCCCCGCCCTCCCCTGCCTCGCCCACCGCCCCGAGCCAGGGCGCCAAGGGCTCGAGGACCATCCACACTCCCGCCCTCACCAGCTACAAGGCGCAGAATGGAAGTCCAAGCAAAGCCACCCCATCCACGGCCAAGGAAACCTCTTAGAGGCTAAATCCCATTAGGCACAAGTTGGAATTAATTTTTTTAATTTTTTTTTTTTTTTTTTTTTTTTTTTTTAGCAGTCTGCAACTGTTTTCACCAGAGAATGTAAAATATTACTGTACCGTTGAGGCTTAATGCAAAGTATGTGCTAAGTACTGGATGGATAGATCTCAGTAAGACTTTTGTTTTTTACTTTGTTCCTGTTGTAACTGCATAGTATTTACTGTCTAGATTCAATACCTATTAACTGAAGTCAGCATGTGCTACAAAAAGAGGGTTTGGTGAGCGCAAAGGGTGCGTGAGAGCTGAGAAGATTGTATTAAGCATGTAAAACATGTATGATTCCAGAATTTTAGTATGTTTTGTATAAAAATATTTTTCATTATGGAGACTAGAAGTGAACAGAGAAATACACAAGTGTGACTATATAAATTGTAAAACAGATACTAGAGTACTTCCTTTTATTTTAGTGTTCTTTAGCTTTATTACAGATTTCTATTTTTGTCAGAACTTCATGGTTCCTTTCAAGATCTTTTTTGCCAAAACATTTTGATACTATAGCATTGTACATTTGAAAGTAGTGTGCTAGACGATAAACCAATGAACTTCTACACAAGCCGATAGGGAGGCATATGTAGGGAGCAATGTATCAGAACTATTGCACTGCCATGAAAAGTATATATAATAATTTGCTAGCCCGAGCAAGCTAGTTTTCTTTGCTTTTTTTTGTCTTTTTACATTTTTTTTTTTTTAATTTTAACATACTGAAATTCTCTAGCTGGTTTCTTCAGAATATCTAGCCCCCTTCCTTTATTTTCTGAGACCTGGTAACCCACACTACTACATTGTGGATTTTAAAATGTACACTTCTGTACGGTTCTGTAAACTGATCAACTTTTGTAAATATATAAATATAAATAGACATAAAAATACTGTATGTGACCACACATAGAGTAGCTTTCCCACACCAAAGTTACTTTTTATGCATGCTTTAAAAATATATATTGGGATGGGTAGACATGGGACTATCCACACCTTTTTAAAAAGCAACAAGTTTGCACAGTTGGAGTGTTTTTGTAAATAAATGTATTTGTATAACACCGTCATGTAATATACAGAACTATAAGCAGAGACTTTGCCAAACTAAATAAAGGGCTGCATGCTTATTATTTTTTGTACCTTGTCACTATAACTACTTCCTAGTCAAAGAACAACATGTAACTATTACCAGATGAAGTGTTTTCAGCTTGAGGGCATTATAAAAAACCTGTAACACATCTGCTCCGATGATACCGCTTTTTCTGAGAGTGCTGGGGTGACTACAATGAGCCTAATAAATTAATCGCAAGTGTGGCACCTTGGCTGTGACCTGCTGACTCTTTCCTGTGGCCTCTCCAGCTCTGGCTGACAGAAAGCGAGCCAGAATGCTAGCGCTCTCTCTGTCTCTCTCTCTCTCTGTCTCTCTCTCTCTCTTTCTCTCTCTCTCCTTACCCAGTGCAAATAAAGTGGAAATAAAAATGTCTTGATTACCCCTGGGATTTTCTTTTCCTAGTTCTCAATTTTACGGTACATTGTTGCTCAGGAGGGAAACTAACATTACACCATATGTTTTTGTTTAAGAAGAATGGAAGGAGAGTTGGTGAAAACACCAAGATCGTGAATTTACTACAGGCGCAATCTCAGGAACCTGCTTGTCATTATTTTTCACCTCCAAAATATTTTAACTTGGTGGTCTGATGTAAAGAGCAAATAGTCTTGCACTTTAGAACCCACTTGTATGTTCCCATGCTCTATAATGAGCTAGGTGGGATGCCTTTGCCAGAAGTATTTTCTGATGTCTCTACTCATTGTAGTAATGGTAGTCATGTGTTTCAGATAGCTATAGGAAATTGTTTAGGTATAAAAGGTTCCAACATTTCGATCACGTCCCATAATCTCAACCACTACATTTATATATAAAATATATGAAGAATGATCAAAACGTATGGTGAATATTTAATTTTTTTGAGAGCAGGTCTCGCTGTGTAGGCTGGCTTGCATTCACTATGTAGCACAGGCAAAGTACTCCCCCTTGCTTGGAGAAACAATTATCGCATCCCTCTTGCCCCCTTTCTGCAGCAGTTCTGGAAGTCTTTTGAGTGTCTTTAATTGTGCTGTTCTGGCTGCCTCACTCTCCTGAGCCAATTTAAAATGTTGCCCTTTCATGGTAATCTTTACTTTGGGGAAGAGCCAGAAGCCACAGGGTACCAGACCATGGTGAATACGGTGGATGAGGATGCATAGAAATGTTTCTACAGACTCACCCCTCCACTGGATGGCACCCAGCAGCAGCATTCACTGTACTTTTGCTCACACCCAGTAGACACTCATGAAAGAGGACTTCCAGAACTGCTTCAGAAAGTGGCACAACAACTGGAGAAAAGCACCTGAAGCAAGGAGACTATTCTAAGGGGGATAGAGGGCAATGTGTCTTTTACTATAATAAATTTTAACAAACGTTCTTTGTATCTTTTCATCACACATCATGCAAGATACAACTAAGAGGATTCTTCTGTGTAATACAGTATGTCATAGCTAGCTAGTTCATGCCAGTCTGCTCCTGTTCAGACACAAGGTGAGAACTGTCTAAGCAGCTAAACAGCAAAACTTGACTCCCTTTTTCAGTTCGACTTCAGAATTTCCAGAGTTCACATGGTCAGGTGACACATGGCCTCTAGGTGAGGGACAGCTCGACTCAGACCATCCCCTCCACTGAGATGCAGTAGCCTCCACAGGAAACTGGAGGCAGCAAATCCCGTGGTGCATATGTTGCCTATGACAACGCTCACCAGAACGCGCCCATTCCTCACTCCCTTGATAGAGCTGCTCCGTCTGAGCCCAAGTTTTAGGCCTGAATCTACTCTTCCCTCCTGTGCTTGGTTGCAGTACAGCTCACATGGGGCCGGGGATGCAGCTCAGTGGTACAGCGCCTGCCTGGCAAACATGAGGCCCTGAGTTCAATTCCTGGTACCAAAAAAAAAAAAAGACAGCGCTCACATGTTGCTCATCTCACTGATCTGCAGATCCCTGCTCAACACCAAGTCCTGGAGTTAAGCTTCCCCTTCTCTGCATTTCCTTTAGACCAGCCCATCCACTCCCCCCACGGGAAAGCCCCCTGGGCCCTGTAATAAAGGCATGACACCTCAGCTTCTCCCTCCACACCTGGGTGAGCTCTTTGCTGCCTCCAGGGCTCCTGCTGACCCCACTACATCCTGAACCTCTCTGGGTTCTGTGAGTAATGAATTTCTTCCTTCAAGTATTTTGTTTTTAACCTCATCTTAGCGCTCCTGACTGACACTCCCAAAGCTAACCAACAAGATTAGAGAGTGGCTGTTTTGGCCCACGGCTACTCTAAACTGACAAACCTCCAGGTCACTTAGAAACCCTAACAATAAAAATTACAACAGCACCTCAGTTACTTTAACACCAGAAGTGCATGGTGTTAGCTGCTAACAGACTCTCAAGGGGGCATCTTTTAGGCAGGTATGGTAACACAGGTCTGTAATTCAGCACTCTAGGAGGCTGAGGCAGGCAGATTGAGCCCAGCCTGAGCAATTTAGCAAGTTCCTGACACGTTTCAAAAAATAAATAGGAGCTGGGGATGTAGTTCAGTGCAAAGATCCTAGATTCAATCCCAGCATTACCACCAAAAAAGAGAGGTCTTTTAAATATCAGTGCTGTTTTGCAGCTGAAAAATATTCTTAGAAATAAGGCACCTGGCCTTTTGGGTTCATTTAACCATCATTAATCCACAGAATCGGTCTTCAGAGCATCTTCTGTACAGGAGGAGGACTGTGACCTGTGACCTGTGACCTGTGACCTGTGACCTGTGACATGCAACATGCTTACAGCTTCTCAGTGGGGCAACTTTGAGCATGCTTTGGCTTCCTCATCTGTAATGGAGAATAGTAATGGAACCTACCTCTTAGGATTATTGGGGGAATTAGGTATGAGGCATGCAAAATTCTTAAGTTTAGCCAAAGGCTGGTTGGAATTATCATTACCACAGCTGTAATGATGACCGTGACACTTGCTCTTAAGAGGAGGCCTCTGGTTTGGTTGAGAAGGCAGAGGCATGAACAGCCAGGAGAACAAGCCTTAACTCCCAGCTCAGCAGAGGTCTTCTCCAGCGTTTCCTGGAGCGGGCGGCACTTGGCCGTGGGGTACACTACAGAACTTCAGACAGTGCTACAGCATTAACAGAGCTGCTTGTATTTTAGTACTGCTGTGATGAGAATTCCGCCCAACATAAATAGACATTTACAGAATCTTGGAGTGAAGCCAAAGCCCCGGAACTGCAGCTCCAGAAGAGAGGGCTCTGCTGTGAAGCTGCATTCTCGGGCCAGGGCAAAGGTGCCCCCAAGTCACCCCCAATCGGTGCCCATCCTTGGCTGAGTGCTAAGGGCAAGGCATTGAGAGCACCCTCGGCTAGCTCCAGATTCAGAGGTCCTCTTCCCAAACTCCCCGCCCTGTAATCCCCGCCCGACAGTCCTAACGACCTTCTTCTCAATGCTGTGTAAGTGCAAAAGCCTTTGAGAGCAACCAGGATGCTTTTCAGAGGGAGGGAAAAAAATAACAGCTTCAGCGAACCATTCAAATGGTAATTCTGCAAAAGTAGCCAGATGGCACTGTTAGGAAAAACCAGCCCTGCCGGGCCTCCAGGAAGCCCCTGCCGTGTGCTCCTGAGGAGGTCACATCCTAAATAAAGGATCCCAAGAGCCTTGGGATCTCAGGCTCTTCGCAGCTCTGGCTCCTCTAGTCCCAGAGCCGGTATCCACCTTAGAAGCCAGGGTTTGCCGAGCCCCTTATCCCCCAGGACCCACAGGGATCGGTCTTCGATTCTGTGAACGCACCGGCAGTCCCGGCTGTCTGCTGCCTGATAGGGACAGGTTTAACGCTGAGGTGTCTGGCTTGCTTCACCTTGTAATCCTCACAAATACGCTGTGAGCTCCCTGCAGAAAACGCAGAGGCTGTGTAGGTAAGAACTGCAGGTCGCAGGTCCCGGGCGAAGCTGAGGTTGGCAGGAGTTTGACCTCGACCTTTCTGCTTGGGATGGAAGCTGCTCAGGGTGAGTCTTTGAAAGACGGTGGTGTTAAGCGGGTCGTTTTCAGTCCTGGATCAAATGAAGGCGCATATTTGCAGAAATAGTCCCTTAAAGGGCCATTGGATTGCAAGTTGTGACCGCCTCCACTTTCAAATAATGGGTTGGCAGAGCAGAACTCTGGTTAGGGGCGAACGTGGTCAACTGGTGTTCCTTGTTGGAAGGGAAACGAGATAGGTACCTGGGATCGCGATTCGTTCTCCCCTAAATCCCAGGCAAGCATATAAAACTCCAGCACACCGGGCGTGGTGGCGCACGCCTGTAATCCCAGCACCCGAGAGGCTGAGGCAGGAGGATTGTTGTGAGTTTGAGACCAGCCTGGGCTACAAAATGAGCTTAAGGCCAGCCTGAACTGCACAGCAAGACCCTGTCTCAAAAAGACAAAAAACAAAAACAAACAAAAAAACTCCAGGACACGAGCCGGCACTCCCAAGCGCCAGGAAGGCTCTGAGGTCTCTGCCCAGCCTCTTCCGCCCAGCCTCTTCCGCCCTGTACTGCACCTCCTCCAGGCCACGCCCAAGTCCCGCCCACACCACGCCTCACCCCTCTGGCCACGCCTCTGCCCTGCCACGCCCCCTAGCTCGCCCTGCCCCTCCTGGCCACTCCCCCGGCCACGCCCTCTAACCCACCCTCACCCCACCCTGTAGCCGTCTCCCGGTAACTTAGTGCACCTGCCGGAGTGCTGCCGGAGGGTGGCTCCCAAGTACCTCCTAAAAGGGGTTTCTTGGAGCTCGACTTCCGGAGACTTGCCTGGCACTGACTTGTGAAGGGACATTTCAGCACCTCAGCATTCGAAATGCGAGTCCCAGAGGTTCCTTTCAAAATAACAAAAGTTTTGAATGAGATAAAATTCTCGATGATGTAGCCTACCTAGTCACCTAGCTTACAAAACCAAACATCAAGCCCTAACGGTGACAATACAAGGTGATCAGTCACACTGGTCAGCAGAATTCAGCAACAAACAGGGCACATTCAGACAAGAAAGGGGGGCTCCGGGTGACTTCTGACCCTTCCCTAAAGTCAAAA